CCTGGAAACACAGGTTGGAACACAGGACGATGTCGGAACGGAGGTCTAAAGACTGGGAGTTTGGAGGAAATGTCAACGGCAGTGTGCTGGAGGTAAAAGAGCCAGCAGCGGGCATCGCTTGGTGTTAGCTGGAGTGCTTCCTAAGTGTAAAAAGTTTCCTAAAAACACCACTGGCGGGGATGGTTTCTCCCCGAGCGGAAACTCGACGGGAACTGTGTGATGTTTGATCGACTCACCCAAATATGGGGAAGTGAGTGCATAACACAATTTGCCAGTTGGAGTACGGTTGGGATGGAGTCAGAAAGACTAGAAGGATACCACTTCCTCTCTCCCATCCCTTCAATGCTCTATCATGCAGGCTTGCCTTGCATGCTTACACCTCAGCAGAGGATGTCTTTACGACAATATGATGCATTTACAGATGCAAAGGCCATGGCAAAATACAGGCCATGAAATGTTAGTTGAAGAAACCCCTGTTCACTCCTGGTTTTGGATGAGCACATTGAGTGGTCTGGCAAAAAGCCATGCTAGTAGGAGGATCTTAAAGCACCAGTACATGGGCACCTGGGCCGCGGGCCTGACACCTCAAATTCTGGAGGCGCGAAACGAAAACGCGACCACCGATCAAATTTATCAACGGCGGCCCCAGCGTTTGATGTTTCGGCCTCGTTTTCTTGTGGCGACAAGTTTCGGACTGCAAGGCTGGGGCCGTGTACTTGTGGTTTAAACTGACCTGAAATCCTCGCAACAAGATTAAACCCTCGCGACAAGAGGGTTTGCTTAGATTAACTCAAGGGTTAAACTGACTGCAACTCCTTATGGAAGAAGGGTAGTGTAGGGTTGAATGATGAAGGTAGTTATGGGTTTAACTGTCGGAGCGTGGAACTCAGTTCAACTCCTTGTTGAAAGTTACTTAGCACCACTGGAGGGTTAAGCAAGAGAATGGACCGAGTGGATCTGGGTTAACTGGTGGAGCATCGAGCTGTTAGCATAACTGGAGGGTTAAGCAAGAGGATGGACAGAGTGCATCTGGGTTAACTGGTGGAGCGTCAAGCTGAGTTCCACTCCTTGTTGAAGGTTAACTGCGCATAACTGGAGGGGTTAAGAAAGAGGATGGACCGACTGCAACTCCACGGAGCCGAAATCTATTTATTCTGTTGAGACTCTCTACGAGATCGTTGAGTGAGTTCAACTCCTTGTTGAAGGTTAACTCAGCATAACTGGAGGGTTGAGAAAGAGGAAGGGACTGAGTGCAACTCCACTGCCCCCAAACCAATTTATTGTGTTGAGCCTCTCTCTCTTTTCCGCGAGAGCGGGAACCGACCCGGGGTCTGATAATCAGCTGCAGCCAATAGGAGGGCTAACTAGGTTTAGCAGGAAGATGGAGAGGCGAGTCAGGCGACTGCGTTCAATTCCTCACCAAAAATCCCTCAGGGTATTTAAATGCTACACTGTGGTCACCACATGTACATATGAACGTCAACGAACCTTTCTAGGGATGACGGCTGCAAGGGCTATTGCAGATATTCATTGTGAGGAGCACCTACGACGCATCCGGCAAGATGTTTGTTGAGCTTTGTTCCTTTTGCCTTTTGTGCAACTAGCGAAGAAGATGCTTCCCTCCATGTTGATTCATAAGATGCTGTTCATAACTGTGATTCGACTTGGAATTGTCAGAATCAATAATAACAGGATCTAGCTTGAAGGGTGGGGGAGAAGGTGGGACGTAGTAGTACTCTTTGGATTAGCGCATGCCATGTATGTGATGTACCGAGGGCAGGGGAAGGAAAGGGACATCGTCCGTAAGTTTGGTGTACACTTACGTTTTTTATGTACATAATTGGAAGGTGACTTGCAGGCAGTGACCACGAAAGTTTGCTACTTCAGAAGATGGGTCTTTGGTGGGGATGTTCTTGAGCAGTGGCTCTCGTTGGAGGAGAACGAAAGCTTTGGATTGCGCATGCAAGACATAGCTGCTGCTGCGAAGATAGCATCTTATGGAGAGGTAGTGTCATATGGAGAGGTAGTGTCATATGGAGAGGTAGTGTCTTATGGAGAGGTAGCGTCTTGTGGAACTGGTGAGAGTATCTGCCCCGCCGCCCCGCTTCCCCACTTTTCGTAATATTGGAAGATGAGTAAGATCAAGCATTGAGAAGAGGGAGAGAATGGGGTATGGTGAAGTTCAGAAAGGGTTTGACGGATTGATTGATTGGTTTCAAGTTTCAACTTTGAAACTTTAAAGAGGTAATTAATTAATCGTTTGATAGCCTCAGCAGCCACTAGAATGGTAATGAGCAATCAAATGTGTTGTGTCAGGACGAATGGAAGCTGATGACTGTGATGCCCATCTGGTCTCTTTTTGCTTCCGGTTGAGCACCTGCTTGCCAGTTAATTGTTATTGTTGTTGTCTAAACAAGTACTGAAGTGTATTGACTGTGGGCACTGAGCCTGCTGGCCATCGACCTTTTTCGATCGTTTGATCTTAATATCGCCCATCACG